GCCTTTTTTATAGTTACAAGGTGGTACAAAATGTACATTAATGCAATCCTTGACCATGAGTTTATAAGTAAATATCCGGTCAAAAGTTATAAAATTGCCTTATTTGTAATTAAATGTTGGTAAGTTGTTTGGACCAATCAGATCTCGTGGGCTAATCTGGCCCATGGGCAGTTTATAAGCTAGGATGTAGTGCACGCCCACTTAGCTTAGAAACTATATCGATCATTTGGCTGGGGTGAAATTATTCATTATTTCATAAATAATGGTTAGCCGAAAAATAATTAGCCGCAACGTGATCCAGACCCGGCTCAGGCATAGATCGTCGTGGAATTCCAGGGGATTTTCTGTGATTAAACCGGGTCCAGATGATCAGCAACGGCTCCCGTTTTTCGGCTAACTACATCATTATTTTTAAAAATATAAATAATAATTAAATATAAATAATAATATAAACAAGTGGCATGTTGTTCATAACAAGTGGCATGTTGTTTATAACAAGTGGCATGTTGTTTATAACAAGTGGCATGTTGTTCACAACAAGTGACTTATTGTTTTTACAACATGCCTTTGAATTGCACGGTACGCCATACAACCACACACAAAAAAAATAATTTTTTGTGTCGAAAGTTGATCATTACTCAATTAACTCTTCACAATAAAAAAAAAATTTTTTTTTTATGCAAGAGGCGAAATTTGCGTACAGCCATGCATATTTATTCATGTGTTACAAAATAAAAAGCTCAATTAACTTTTCATAATAAAAAAAATTTTTTTTTTATATTTATTCGTGTTACAAAATAAAAAAAAGTATATAATCGCAAATGGACGAGGTAAAAAAATAATTTTTTGGTAATAAATTTATATATTTATAAGTGATTACCAAATGGATGACATTTTAGTAAAAATTAACGATGCTGACAAAATCGAAATCGATGTTGATAAAAATGATGTTGACAAAATATTTACCTTTGATGATATCGATGATAAAAATGATGTTGATAAAATATTTACCTTTGATAATATCGGTAATGAACCACATAATGGTAAACCTATTACTAAGATAGAAATATCACCAAAAGAAAACTACCTTATTACTTATAGTAAAGAAGATAGTTCAATTGCCGGTTGGAATGTTGAAGATATGGATAAGATTCAACTTAAATTTGATCAAACTGTTAAAATTGATGAAGATAGAATCCATAGTTTATATGTTTCTGATGATAAGAAACTTGCTTATATCAACTTTAAGTGTTATGGTGAGTAATAATTATTTGATTATGTAATTATTATTAAATTACTATGGTAATTGTTATTTATTTTAATATTTTTTAGTAATCGATATGAATAATAAAGATAAAAAAAAAATTGCAATAAATTTAAATGCAATATATGCTGATTCTTGTACCTTTAATTTAAAAGGTGAATTTATTTTATATAGTACGATTTGGCCTCATTCTGATTTTGAAAGAAATAAAATTATTTGGATTTATTCAACACAAACTAAAAATAACAAATGGGAATGTAAGAGATTTTACAGGATACCTGAAGATTATGAATTAATTAGTATATCAAAATATGATAATGTTTACCTTTTTTTAAATTATTTCATTTATGAATGGAATATTAATACTGAGAAAAGTGTTAAAATATTTGTTAATAATAAGGATAAGAATAAGGTAATAAATATTATAAAATTATTTTCAACCCAATTGATGTTAAATTATAATTAAATATATTAAATACTATTTATTTTTTAGTTTGAGACAGAAAATATCGGAATATTTAGTAATGAAAAGTTTATTTTTCTAAAAATCAATGATAAAATCATCATTTATTCAATCGAATTGAGAATTACTATTTCTTCTTTGGATATAGATAATGGTAACATTTTAAAAAATTTTATTTATACTTTAATTATTACTCAATACTCATATTAAAGCATTGTTTTTATTTAGATATTCAACTATATAATTTTATGAATCATACTGGTTTATTTCTTTTACCTCTTATATTCTATTATACACCAGATAAAGGAATCTGGAATTCCATCAAATATTGCTGGAACAATAAATACAAAAATATGTTTAATCTAACTATATTTGATGAACCAACTGATGAACAAACAAAGGTTGTGTTTGGAATGCTAAATGGACGTGTTTGGAAATCTAGATTGATGTCAAAAACAAACTTTTCATCTGAAAATTCTGATGAATTAAATAAAGAAAATAATAAAATTATTGAATGTAATGATGATGACAGAGAAAAATATATGGAAATACCCCAAAAGATATTTCCAAAATTTTTTTTACCATTACCACATTATGGTATGGTTCAATTTGATAAATGGGTTTCTGATGCAAAAAATAATAAGTTAAGTCTTTTGAAATATGGGGTTGAATTATTAACAATTGCAATCAAAGAACATAAGTTAGAATTAATTGATGATATTTATAAAAAATGTATGACTTATTTTAAAGAGGACTTAATGCACAATAAGTCATTTTTAAGCATTATCACTTCTACAATGCCATTACTAGATAAATATTATCCAGAGTATATTCTAAGATATTCACCAGAAACGAATATGATCATAGATTCTTCTTCTTATAGTATAGAACATCAAAATAAAAATTTACATCTTTGTTCTTTTTTTCAATATCCTCAAATAGCTAATTTATCTCAATCTCTTTTATGGACAAAATACCATTATAAATTTTATTCCGATTATCATGAAGATGATGAATATAGAGATTTATTATATTATATTATAAATGTTATTCAAGCTTTAATCATACTTTTAACTTTACCTCTATATTTTGTTACATTTTATATTTTATCAAAGTACAATTTTATTAATAATATTTACATTAGAGATGTATTTTCTGTTGTTTATTTCTATGCTGAACTTTTTATTTTTGAAATTTTAGAAAAAGTAAAAAAAGATATAACAACAACACCAACAATTACTTTTATGATTCCTTATATTAATTTTGTTAATTATTCAAAAGATTATAGTTGGTTTTTAGAATTAATTAGACCTCAACCTAGTCCATTTACTGAAACGATTAATAGAAATATCTATAAAACATGGAATGGAGAGGCATTAATTAATTTTAAATGGAATGCTTATGGAAAATATTATTATGCAATGATTTGGGGTTTATTTATGGCATTACTTGGATGCTTTACTGCTGCTGCAACAATTCCTCAGAAATATATCAATGAAGAAGTTAGACAACAACTTTTTATTGCTTCAATTATACTTGGATTTATTCATCTGATTCTTGAAATTCGTCAATTTTTTAATAATATTATTAAGTGGTTTTATAATTTTTGGAATATTTTTGGTAAATATAAATGTTTAATTTAATTATTTTACAATATCTTTATTTAAGAAAATGAATTAAATATATAATATTTTAAATTACAGATATAATTGCTTATGTGCTTTCAATTTACACTTCTATTTACTGGCTCAAAACAAATGATAAGAACAATAATTACTTAATTACATTGCTTTCTTTTTCATGTTTATTTTTGGATATAAAATTTTTGTTATTTTTTAGAGCTTTTGAATATTTTGGAGTATATTTTGCAATTATTATTAATGTTGGAAAGAAGATTTTTTCTTTTTTAATAGTCTTATTCATTATTATAATAAGTTTTGCACATGCATTTTATATTTTATTATCACCAAGATCCGAATTTTCACTTGAACAACCTACAATTAATTATGATCCAAATAATCCTTGGAATTTAGCTTCTAGTTATAATCAAATAATTGATAATGATAGAAATATAAACTCAAATCCATGTATGATTCAAACACCTGATAAAAATACAAACATGTTTATAGATATTAGAACTTCTCTTTTTGCTATATATTTATTTTTAGCAGGTATGTTTAAAATTTTCATAATTATAGTAAATAATTTCTAATAGTAATTCTTCTTTCCTATCAATAGGTGATTCAAGTGCATTATCCAATTGGGCATATATAGATAATCCATCAATTGCAATATTGATTGTTTTATTTTCCCTCTTAGTTGTTATATATCTTATGAACTTATTAATTGGATTACTCAATATGGAAATTGGAGAAGATAATAATAGAGTGTCATATTTGATACAGAAGGCAGAAGTAAATAATATTAATATTATTTTATTCCATTTCTATGAATATACTACTAATACTATATCTCAATTTTTATATTTTTAAAGATTTTGGCTGAGATTGAGTTATTTTATCTTTTACCACATCAGAGACGTTGGCATACATGGTTTCCTGAAGTGATGTATGTAATCTTACTTTTTTAAAAAAATTATTGTTATAATTTTACTAATTATTCAAATTTATTTTTCAAGGTATTATTATGCCGATGTTGATAAGACTCGAATAGAAATTAAAAGGTTGATTGAAGTAGGTGAATGGGATACTAAGGAATTCACAGAGATGCGGGAAAATTTATTAAAATTACTTGAAATTAAACATAATCCTATTGACAATGAGGTAATATTGAAGAAATTAGAAAAATTAGAAGAACAAAATACAGAATTTGAGAAATTATTAAAAGAAATACGTGCAAAATAATTTTGATATTACATTAGTTTTATAATTTGATCACTGGATAGTGTATTAGATGAACCAGTTTGTAATCAATTATAAGAAAATTAATAATAAATTGAATAAATATATTTTATGTTTTCTCTCTAATATAAATTTCTAAATTATTCATTTTAATAAAAAGATTGATAATATTGAAAATTATATAATACAATATTAGGGTTGGGTCAGCCCTATCAAAGACCGGTCCTGCGTCGGTCTTGGGATCGGTCTTCACGGTCTTCAGTCCGAGATCTGAGGACCGGTCCGGACCGGGGACTGATCCACATGATTACTGCTGTAATAAGATTAGTAATATTGTAACAATATTACTAATCTTATTGATATGGTATGAAAATACTAAGTAAATTTGGATTTTGTATTATAAAAATAATAGGATGTGTATGTAATAGTTAACAAATCAGAGCGATTTTGATTTAGCCAGAATTAACATAAATTCAGCCAAAATTAAACATGTGTAAATTCAACCTTTTAAGCTAACAATTTATTAAAAAGTACAAGTAAATAGGACGAACCCATAGATACATAAATACATAGAAAAAAGGCAGTACTGACTCTCTAATCTACCATCTAAACTAATGAACTTAACCTTGACTGTAATTTTTGGGTAATTTTTTTAAAATTTATGATTGTTCAAGGATATCTTGTCATTATCAAATTATGGTCAAGATTTTTATCAAGTTGTCTTAATGTTGTATCGATTTGCGTAAGATGACGCCGGGCTACATTATCGGCCCAACATTGCCCAATATTATAATGTCTTAAGTGTGTTGGCTAGTATAACTAGGCCAGCTGTCATCTGACGAGCGTCGATGAACAAATCGAACATGAATTTCTAATGATTCATGAATTGAATTCATGTTGGTAAAGTTGCGATCTAGGCTTTCCTGTGGCATTTTTATTGTGTATTAATTTAAGCCATCAAAATAATCAAATAGTGAATTTTTTGAATTTTGTTGATCAATAAAATTTTTAAAATTAGCGGAACGTAACGACGAAATTTTTGAAAATTACTTACCAACCAATATAAATTTTTTTTTAAAAAAATATTCAAACTAAAAAAGAAATACCTTTCCTGAATTTTCTTTAACATGATAATTTAAAATTTTTTTATTATTCTTTTTTATTTAAAATAAGAAGGTATCCGAAGGTGAAGGTGAGAGTAGTGAAAGCAAATCAAAGCGATGTGGAGTTTGCAATCAAGAAGGTCACAATGCGCAAACTTGCTCAAATAGAAAGAAATCTACCAGTTAGAACGTGAAAATTAATTGGTCTTGTTACATATAGGGTCATGAGTAATATGAAAACCATTTAAATGTGATTTTTTCTAATTTTTTTTTACAAATAAAGCAAATAAAGCAATATTACAATTTTTATTTTTTTAAAAAAAACTGGTGCTGAATACCACTGGTATTCAGCACCACTGGTGTGATTTATCAAACTCCATTAAATTAATATAATTAATTAAAATATTTTTACATACCAATCCACGTGTGATGACCACATGTTTCGTCACAGGGTATTCGGAAAATATTGGTTCCACTTGGAATTTCCATGATGTTCCACGTAGAACTTTCTGCAGATTTTAAACGGCAAAACTTCCTGATGGAATTAATTACAATTCCTACTTATAGTAAAGTTGGTTTATATATTGATAATATGAGTGATGCGCAATGTTAGAAAAACTTTAATATGTAACTAGCATTTTGCTGTAGTAGTCCCCCATAGTTAATTTTATTTGTATTGTATAAATAAATAAACTAAGTAAATATATAAATATCAGTTTGTTTAATTTGGATGAAAATTCAGGTCTATACTGGTAGTTTCCATTAACAATTAACAATAAAATAAAATTATAAAATTTAACTTAAAAATATCATAACAAAAAAATAAAAATTACGTTTGATCATCGACATAATTAATAGGTAAATGCTTTTTATGCTTGTTATTCTATCGGTCTGATGGCCAATCTATGAGTGGCTAATCAAGTTCCGGTTGATGAAATTTTAATTTAATAATAATAATTAATTACTAACTGCTAATAAAGAAGGTAATTAAATTTTTTTTCAGTTGTTTAAACTGAGATTTTATTTTTCAAAAATTTTTTTTTTCAGTTTTTTTTCCAAAACCGATTTTTCTTTTATTATTTTTCTTTTAACCTAACTTTTTTTGAATTATTAATATATTTGTTCTTTTTTTCCCCAACAAAATAAAATTTTTAATTATTTTTTTATTATTTTTGTCTTTTTCAATACAAAGAAATAAATTTTTTTAATCGTTTATACCAAAAATAATTTTTTTAGTCGCTTTTTTTTATTTTTAGTTACTGAAAATAAATCTTCTTTTTTTTTATTTAATACCGAAAAATAAATTTTTTTTAATTTTGTTTTTTTTCAATACCGAAAATAATTTTCTTGGATTTACCTTCATATTTTTTATTTATTGGAATGGTAATTCACTTGACCTGCAAAATCAATCTCGGACTGATTAAGAGCGATATCAGTATAGATTTATCATTCAACCCGTACGGCCGTGAAATTAGAAATTTTTTAATAACAAAGTTGTAATTTTTCAGAAAATCTAATCTGGGTTCATATACTTTCCGTAATTATCATCTTACAATATTTATTTAAAACTTTCTTAAAGCGATTAACAATTGTTTAACTATACTTTAAATAATTACAAATAAATGAATATAGAATAAGTTATAAAATTTAAGAAATATTTCTACCTAATATCTTAAATAACAACTAAATAATTAATCAATTGTATTTAAAAATCTATAAATACCAATAGATAACTTATTATAACTAAGTACTTTAATATTATGTAACTTAAATTCCTTCACTTCGTCTTTTAAATCAAACAAATCCACTTTTCTCCTAACACATCCCCGAATTAAAGTATTCTTAATAGCCAAATATTTAACTCTTTTCTTCTTCATAACATATTCTTTTATATAAGGTAAAATATCAATATAATTATCATCTTCTTGATTTGTATTTTTAATTACTAATGTATTAAAGAAATTATCTTGAGAATTTTTTAATAATATTTCAATATCATTTACTTTGATGCGAAGAACCAAACTTAAATATTCAAGTTTAGAAGGAAGTGTTTGTCCTAAATTTTGTAATATTGACTTGATATTACTATATTCATTATCTTCATAATTACTTAAATCGATTGAAAGATAATTAAGATTTTGTTTAATATTTTCAATTAAACTGAATATTAAAGAAGTAATGTTATTAATTCTACTATGTAAATTAAGAAATCTGATATTTTTACAATAATTTATAATTAATTGAAGAAATTGTTGATCCGATGATAAATCATTGTAATTCAAGCAATCGCCAAAATTTTCTAAATAATTACCAGATTTTTGTAATAATAATTGCAATGATTCAATTTGCAATCTCATTAATAAAAATAAAGATTTTAATTTAAATGGTTTGGTTAATTTAATAATTTGCTGAACAAAAATATCTAAAGAATAACAAAAAATGATATGAACAGATTCTAAAACATTTAATTGTTCAAATATCTTATCTAAATTATTTATACGTTTAAAATCGATATTACGGAAAATGATTGTATTTAAGGTATTTGAACAATTAGATTCTTTTGATAATAATAATGATTGATATAAAGGAAGGGTATTAAGTTCAAATAATATTTTTTTGAGATTTTGATTTGAATTAATTATTTGTGTTACACGATTTTTAATTAGTGTATTATCACTATCACTAGAACTTGTAATAGATAATTTTAAATTTCTAATATTATTACTAATGAAATTTGGATTTTGTAAAATTATCTCAAGAATATTGTCAATACATGTGTTATAATAAGTTTCAAGTTCAAGGGTATGTAAATTTACTTCATTTTCAATAAATAATTTAATTAATGACATATTAATGAAATTTATAAATTCAAATACTAAATCCATATTTAAGTTTACATCATTAGCTCTTAACCACATCTCAATAGAAGGGTTAATTTTACTTGTATTTAAATATCTTATAAAACTAGGATAATTGAAAAGTGTATTTGAAGTTAATAAAGAATCAATAATTTTATATTCATTTAATTTTGTTTTTAAATCATCATTCAAATAATGTAAGTAAATTTCAATAAAATTGTAATTTCCGGTAGTGATTGAAAATGGATTTTCCCATAATAATGGAATTGCTAAACGACACCATAGTTTATTAACTAAAATACATGAATGTAAGGTTGAATAATCATTCTGAAAATATTCAATGATTTCATATATTAGTTCAGGTAAATCCCCTGACAATATTTTCGAACATGACATATTTGTAAATGAAAAGAAGAATAAGGATGTATCATTTTATTGAGTAAATTTAAATATAATTTTCGGACCGATATCGTCGCACAAACAATGTCGATAATAAATTGTGTGTAACATCCTTTGATAATTAGGCGCAATTAGTAATACAAACAAAATGACATACGCAATAGTCAGCCAGTTAAAAAATTGTTTGTAACGCCATGATGATCGCACCAAATTATACGTAAATAACTTATTCGAAAGCTGAAAACCTGTAGATTTTATCAATGGTAAATTAAAATGTATTTAATGTAGTAATTTTTTTTTAATAAGCTTACAATAATAATTTTTTTAGATTAAAACTTTTTATAACTAATTTGTATTTCTTTGCATAAAGTGCAGTAGATAGTCAAAAAAATTTTTTTTAATTTATACTTTTCTATTGGTCTTGATAACATTTGAGAAATTTTCAATGACTTTGTATCCATTCTAAATTCACAAATTTCACATTATATTTTTTCTTCAAAAATCAACACTTGCAGTTAATTTTCTCAAGAAGTAAAAAAGCATTATGACCATGAAAGATGTCAAAATATAGTCCTGATATTCAAGTTTATTTTGCATTTTAAATGATAAAAATTGGACTTATTTTGAGCGAACTACACGCATTTTGTAATTTGAATAATTTTTGGCTTTTTTACTATATACCGAAATTGGGGAATTTTGAAGAGTAAATTTCTCATCATTCGAAGCAACTATAACTTTAAATGATATAATAATATAGATATTATTATTATCCAATTTACGAAAAGAAAATTAGATTTATTTTGAGCGTATAATACATACTGGTCATGCGTACGTTCTGAGCCAATCTATGAAGAGTTTTGTGGCTAATCCAGTTCTGGTTGATAAAATTTTTTTCAGTTGTTTAAACTGAGATTATTATTTTTCAAAATTTTTTTTTTTCAGTGTTATTTTCAAAACCGATTTTTCTTTTATTATTAATATTTTTTTTTGTATTATTAATATTTTTGTTCTTTTTTTTTTTCCAACAAAGTAAATTTTTTAATTATTTTTTTATTATTTGACTTTTTCAATACTGAGAAATAAAATTTTTTTAATCGTTTATACCAAAAAATAATTTTTTTTTAGTCGCTTTTTTTTTATTTTTAGTTACTGAAAATAAATTTTCTTTTTTAATACCGAAAAATAAATTTTTTTTAATTCAATTTTTTCAAAACCGAAAATAATTTTCTTGGATTTACCTTCATAATTTTTATTCATTGGAATGGTAATTCATTTGACCTGCAAAATCAATCTCAGACTGATTAAGAACGATCTCAGTATAGATTTAGCATTCAACCTGTACGGCCGTGATTCCGTGAAATTTTTTAATAACAAAGTTGTAATTTTTCAGAAAATCTAATCTGGGTTTATATACTTTCCGTAATTATCATTTTACAATATTTATTTAAAAACTTTCTTTAAGCAATTAACAATTGTTTAACTATACTTTAAATAATTATAAATAAATGAATATAGAATGAGTTAAAAAATTTAAAAAATATTTCTATCTAATATCTTAAATAATAACTAATTAATTAATCAATTTCATTTAAAAATCTATAAATAGTACCAATAGATAACTTATTATAACTAAGTACTTTAATATTATGTAACTTAAGTTCCTTCACTTCGTCTTTTAAATCAAACAAATCCACTTTTCTACTAATACAACCCAGAATTAAAGTATTCTTAATAGCCAAATATTTAACTCTTTTCTTCTTAATAACATATTCTTTTATATAAGGTAAAATATCAATATAATTATCATCTTTCTGTTTTTTATTTTCAATTACCAATTTATTGAAGAAATTATCTTGAGAATTTTTTAAGAATATTTCAATATCATTTTCTTTAATGTGAAGAACCAAACTTAAATATTCAAGTTTAGAAGGAAGTGTTTGTCCTAAATTTGCTAATATTGACTTGATATTATTATATTCATCATTTTCATAATTACTTAAATTGATTGAAAGATAATTAAGATTTTGTTTAATATTTTCAGTTAAACTGAATATTAAAGAAGTAATGTTGTCTTTAATTCTATTACGTAAATTAAGTAATCTGATATTTTTGCAATAATTTATAATTAATTGAAGTAATTGTTGATATGATGATGATTTATCATTATCAAAGTAATCACCAAAATTTTCTAAATAATTACCAGATTTTTGTAATAATAATTCTAATGATTCAATTTGTAATCTCACGATTAAAAATAAAGATTTTAATTTAAATGGTTTGGTTAATTTAATAATTTGTTGAATAAACCTATCTAAAGAACGACAAAAAATGATATGAACAGATTCTAAAACATTTAATTGTTCAAATATTTTATCTAAATTATTTATACCTTCAAAATCGATATGATAGAAAATGATTGTATTCAAGGTATTTGAACAATTAGATTCTTTTGATAATAATAATGATTGATATAAATGAAAGGTATTGGTATTATAATTGAAGGATATTTTTTTAAGATTTTGATTTGAATTAATTATTTGTGTTACACGATTCACAATCTTAGAACTAGAACTTGAAATAGAAAATTTTAAATTTCTAATATTATTATTAATGAAACTTGGATTTTGTAAAATTATCTCAAGAATATGTTCAATATATGTGTCATAATTTGTGTTAGAGGCCTCAAGATCGAGGGTATGTAAATTTACTTCATTTTCAATAAATAATTTAATTAATGACATATTAATAAAATTTTTAAATTCAAATACTAAAACCATATTTAAGGTTATATCATTAGCTTTTAACCACATATCAATAGAAGTATTAATTTTACTTATGTTTAAATATTTTATAAAACTAGGATAATTGAAAAGTGTATTTGTAGTTAATAAAGAACCAATAATTTTATATTCATTTAATTTTGTTTTTAAATCATCATTCAAATAATGTAAGTAAATTTCAATAAAATTGTAATTTCCGGTAGGGATTGAAAATGGATTTTCCCATAATAATGGAATTGCTAAACGACACCATAATTTATTAACTAAAATACATGAATGTAAGGTTGAATAATCATTCTGAAAATATGCAATGATTTCATATATTAGTTCAGGTAAATCCCCTGACAATATTTTCGAACATGACATATTTGTAAATGAAAAGAAGAATAAGGATGTATCATTTTATTGAGTAAATTTAAATATAATTTTCGGACCGATATCGTCGCACAAACAATGTCGATAATAAATTGTGTGTAACATCCTTTGATAATTAGGCGCAATTAGTAATACAAACAAAATGACATACGCAATAGTCAGCCAGTTAAAAAATTGTTTGTAACGCCATGATGATCGCACCAAATTATACGTAAATAACTTATTCGAAAGCTGAAAACCTGTAGATTTTATCAATGGTAAATTAAAATGTATTTAATGTAGTAATTTTTTTTTAATAAGCTTACAATAATAATTTTTTTAGATTAAAACTTTTTATAACTAATTTGTATTTCTTTGCATAAAGTGCAGTAGATAGTCAAAAAAATTTTTTTTAATTTATACTTTTCTATTGGTCTTGATAACATTTGAGAAATTTTCAATGACTTTGTATCCATTCTAAATTCACAAATTTCACATTATATTTTTTCTTCAAAAATCAACACTTGCAGTTAATTTTCTCAAGAAGTAAAAAAGCATTANTTTTGTATCCATTCTAAATTCACAAATTTCACATTATATTTTTTCTTCAAAAATCAACACTTGCAGTTAATTTTCTCAAGAAGTAAAAAAGCATTATGACCATGAAAGATGTCAAAATATAGTCCTGATATTCAAGTTTATTTTGCATTTTAAATGATAAAAATTGGACTTATTTTGAGCGAACTACACGCATTTTTGTAATTTGAATAATTTTTTAGCTTTTTTACTATATACCAAAATTGGGGAATTTTGAAGAGTAAATTTCTCATCATTCTACCATAAACGTTACTATATTGCTGATTTTTTGTATCAACTTTTTTACATTATCCTTAACAATATTTGAATGTTTTTAATTTAAATTCAATATATAATTGTTTTGTAATCTTAATTTATTTTTTTGTTATATTTTTCTTTTCAAAGTAAATATTTACAGCGAAATTTTTCAAAAAATAATGAAGCAATTATAACTTTAAATGATATCATAATATAGATCTTGGTCATGGGTTTATTATCCAATTTATGCAAAGAAAATTAGTAGATTTATTTTGAGCGTATAATACGCATTTTTATTATATGAATGATATTCCAGTTTTTTTTGTTACACACTATATAAATATCAGTTTTTTTAATTTGGATGAAAATTCAGGTCTATAATTTTTCCATTAACAATTAATAAATTACAAAATTTAACTTAAAAATATCATAGCTACAAAATAAAAATTACGTTCGATCATCGACATAATTAATGGGTAAATACTTGTTATTCTATCGGGGTCATGCGTACATTCTGAGCTAATCTATGAAGAGTTTTGTGGCTAATCCAGTTCTGGTTGATAAAATTTTTTTCAGTTGTTTAAACTGAGATTATTATTTTTCAAAAATTTTTTTTTTTCAGTGTTTTTTTCAAAACCGATTTTTCTTTTATTATTAATATTTTTTTTTGTATTATTAATATTTTTCTTTTTTTTTCCAACAAAATAAATTTTTTAATTATTTTTTTATTATTTGTCTTTTTCAATACTGAGAAATAAAAAATTTTTTTAATCGTTTATACCGAAAAATAATTTTTTTTTAGTCGCTTTTTTTTATTTTTAGTTACTGAAAATAAATTTTCTTTTTTTTATTGAATACCGAAAAATAAATTTTTTTTTAATTCAATTTTTTAAATACCTAAAATAATTTTCTTGGATTTACCTTCATATTTTTTATTCATTGTAATGGTAATTCATTTGATCTGCAAAATCAATCTCAGACTGATTAAGAACGATCTCAGTATAGATTTATCATTCAACCTGTACGGCCGTGATTCCGTGAAATTAGAAATTTTTTAATAACAAGGTTGTAATTTTTCAGAAAATTTAATCTGGGTTTATATCCTTTTCGTAATTATTATTTTACAATATTTATTTAAAAACTTTTCTTTAAGCGATTAACAATTGTTTAACTATACTTTAAATAATTATAAATAAATGAAAAATAAATCTAATTGTAACAGCCTGTTACGCGTCTTATTTGTAACAACCCCAATTTTATCCAATTAAAATTTAAGTTCAGGCGTAATGTAAACAAAAACAAAAGATCAGTCGTGTAACCAAGACAAAAGAATTTTTTAAAAAATTTCAAGAAACTGCTTATAACTTGAAATTTTGTCTATGAAACTGTCTTAAGTACATTAAGTAAAAGTTTTCCAAATTAAATTTTGCATATAAAAATTTTATTTGTAAACCACATACTAAATTTATTATTTAAAAAAAAATAAAAAAAAGGATGTTACAAATAAGATATATAACAGGCTGTTACAAATACATTTATTCATAAATGAATATAGAAAATTTAAAAAATATTGCTATCTAATATCTTAAATAACAACTAAATAATTAATCAATTTCATTTAAAAATCTATAAACACCAATAGATAATTCATTATAACTAAGTACTTTAATATTATGTAACTTAAATTCCTTCACTTCGTCTTTTAAATCAAACAAATCCACTTTTCTCCTAACACATCCCCGAATTAAAGTATTCTCAATAGCCAAATATTTAACTCTTTTCTTCCTCATAACATATTCTTTTATATAAGGTAAAATATCAATATAATTATCATCTTCTTGTTTTTTATTTTTAATTACTAATTTATTAAAGAAATTATCTTGAGAATTTTTTAAGAATATTTCAATATCATTTTCTTTAATGCGAAGAACCAAACTTAAATATTCAAGTTTAGAAGGAAGTGTTTGTCCTAAATTTTGTAATATTGACTTGATATTACTATATTCATTATCTTCATAATTACTTAAATTGATTGAAAGATAATTAAGATTTTGTTTAATATTTTCAATTAAACTGAATATTGAAGAAGTAATGTCATTAATTCTACTATGTAAATCAAGAAATCTGATATTTTTACAATAATTTATAATTAATTGAAGTAATTGTTGATCTGATGATAAATTATTGTAATTCAAGCAATCGCCCAAATTTTCTAAATAATTACCAGATTTTTGTAATAATAATTGTAATGATTCAATTTGTAATCTCATTAATAAAAATAAAGATTTTAATTTAAATGGTTTGGTTAATTTAATAATTTGTTGAATAAAACTATCTAAAGAATAACAAAAAATGATATGAACAGATTCTAAAACATTTAATTGTTCAAATATTTTATCTAAATTATTTATACCATTAAAATTGATATAATAGAAAATGATTGTATTCAAGGTATTCGAACAATTAGATTCTTTTGATAATAATAATGATTGATATAAAAGAAAGGTATTGGTATTAGAAATGAGGGATATTTTTTTGAGATTTTGATTTGAATTAATTATTTGTGTTACACGATTTACAATCTTAGAACCAGAACTTGAAATGGAAAATTTTAAATTTCTAATATTATTACTAATGAAATTTGGATTTTGTAAAATTATCTCAAGAATATTTTCAATATATGTGTCATAATTTGTGTTAGAGGCCTCAAGATCAAGGGTATGTAAATTTACTTCATTTTCAATAAATAATTTAATTAATGACATATTAATAAAATTTTTAAATTCAAATACTAAATCCATATTTAAGGTTATATCATTAGCTCTTAACCACATATTAATAGAAGTATTAATATTATCTATGTTTAAATATCTTATAAAACTAGGATAATTGAAAAGTGTATTTGAAGTTAACAAAGAATCAATAATTTGGTATTTACTTAATGTTGCTTTTAAATATTTATTCAAATTATATAAGTAAACTTTAATAAAATTGTAATTTCCGGTAGTGATTGAAAATGGATTTTCCCATAATAATGGAATTGCTAAACGACACCATAGTTTATTAACTAAAATACATGAATGTAAGGTTGAATAATCATTCTGAAAATATTCTATGATTTCATATATTAGTTCAGGTAAATCCCCTGAAAATATTTTCGAACTTGACATATTGTAAACGAAAAGAAGAATAAGGGTGTATCAATTTATTGTAAAACCAAACCGAGTAAATTTATATATAATTTTCGGAGTAATGATTCCGATATTGTCGCACAAACAATGTCAATAATAATTAGGCGCAATTTTTATTTGTTAAAGTAATACAAACAAAATGATATACGCAGTAGTCTGCCACAAATAGTAACGATTGTCATCAAATATACTGTATATCCCTATATAGTCACACTCGTGTGATTATAAAAATACTACAGTATTTTAAATAAGCTTATTAGTAACTTTGGCCAACGCAAAAATGTGCTTATAAGGGGGATGTGACTGACTATAGAAGGGGTCAACCGTACAACTATAAATTAAAAAAATTTTTTATTATCAGTTTTTAATTTTCGCAAATATGTATTAAATATTTTAGTATCAAATATAATTTTTTAATAGATTTTTTTTTTTAAATAAAAAAAAATGTTTACTGCGCAATTATGATTTTTGCATTGTGTACTAAAGAAATTCATGTACTAAAGATATGAAACCTTAAAATTTGTGTCATAATTAACCACAATAAATCACGCTTGATTAATTATTAATATTATAGCGAGCATTATGTATAACTAGAAGTTTTACTTCTGATCGTATGAATTAATAAAGACATGTCAAATAATAATAAAAAAATTTTTTTAACTTTATTTACTTTATTTATAAAAAATGAATGTTCATACAGTATATAATAATTTTAAAATTACTACTAAATAAATTATTAATCAAGTTCCTTCTCAAAGTTAAGAAGATTAAAAATTAAATCATAATAATATTTTAATTTAATATTATACAATTCAAATTTCTTTACTTCATTTTCAAAATAAGGCAAACCTTCATATTTAGAATTCCAAATAGCTAAATATTTGACCCTTTTTTCCTTTATAATAAAATTCTTTATATAATAAATAATATCATCATTATCTTTTTGCATTATTAACAATTTTTTAATGGAAGTATTTTGAGAATTTTTTAAGAAAATCTCAAAATCATTTTCTCTAATATAAAGAACCAAATATTCTAACTTAGATGGAAGAATTTGTCCTAAATTTTGTAATATTATTGAACTACATTTGATATTATTACTACGATCTTGATAATCCTCTATAGTGATCGAAAGATGGTTAAGATTTTGATTAAAACTTTCAATTAAATTTAATACTAAAAAGTAATTTTCATTCCAAACGAATTTATATAAATCAAGAAATTTGATATTTTTACAATAATTTATAATTAATTGAAGAAATTGTTGATCTGATGATAAATCATCGTAACAAAATCCATAACCGAAATTTTCCAAGTAATCACCAGATTTAATAAAGATTTCAATTTAAATGGTTTAGTTAAATTAACAATTTGTTGAATAAACCCATTATTTAAAGTACAATATGAACAGATTCCAAAACATTTAATTTTTCGAATAAATTATTGGCCAAACTATTAAAATTGACACAATATAATATAATTGTATTTAAGTTATTTGAACAATTAGAACCGTTTGATAATATTAGTAATGGTTGATATAAAGAAAAGTTATTACGACTTAATATAATTTTTTTTAAGATTTTGATGTATATTAATCATTTGTGTTATACGATTTTTAATTTGTATATATTTATCATTAATCAAAATATAAATTTTTAAATTCCTAAATTTATGAATAAAAATTGGATATTGTAAAATTATTTCAAGAATATAATCAACGTATGTGTTAAAATAAGTAATAGAGATCTCAATTTCAAGGGTATGTAAATTTACTTCATTTTCAATAAATATTATAAATAATGACATATTAATAAATTTTTTAAAATCTTTTATTAAAAAAAATTCACCACTGAATTGTGAAGTTTTAAAAGTTTCAGACCATTTTTCAACAGAAGAAATAATCTTATATATATTCAAATATTTTAAAAACATAGGATAATTAAAAAGTGTAGTAGAAGGAAATAATTTATTAATTTTATATTCATTTAATTTTGTTTTTAAATCATCATTTAAATAATGTAAGTAAATATCAATAACATTGTAATTTTTTATGGGAATTGAAAATGGATTTTCCCATAATATTGGAATCATTATACGACACCATAATCTGTTAACCAAAACACATGAATATAAGGTTGAATAATCATTATGAAAATATTTTATGATATTATATATTAATTCAGGTAAATCTCCTGAAAATATTTTTGAATATGACATATTGTAAGCGAAGAGAGAAAAAAGAGGTATTCGTTCGAAATAATGCGCGTTACTAAAAAAGTGGTATTCGTTAGTCACATTTTATCATTGTGGCTGATTTACGATATTGCCGCACAACTAATTGTGTGTAACATGTTCAAGTAATAGGGCGTAATTTCTATTTAAAATTACTACTTGCAGGCTGCAGCCAACTACCCCAACGGCACCCAGAAAATTCTTCGAACTCGGCCGGCGTTATGCACTGACACGTGATCGAAGAATTTAGGATGTGATGAATAAAACGTGACAAATAGAATTTCATCTACTTGAAAAAATCCAAGTCCCTCAGATAAATATAAACAGTGAAACTCGGACAGGGCGTGACGATGTGATAAATAAAAACAGATCACGTGATCGAAGAATTTTTCTGGGTGCTGTTGGGTTATATGGCTGCAGCCTTGCAGTAACAGGTAAATTATTGCTTAAAATTGCCGTATCATATGAAATTATCACGCCACATCGGCACATCTATTACCATCACCTTATATAACTATTAGCTTCACATGTCACGAATATATCCTAATTTACCACACTAAATTTTTTAAACATGGTTTTTAATTAATAATAATTTATGAATCAATGAATGTGAATTAAACAAAAAAATAAACAATTTATTGTTGAATTTTTTTAATAATTTTAATTTTATTTTTAATGTGGTTAAAATAAAAAACTAAAACTCTATAATTTTTTATTAAAATGACAATCATTTCACCGACAGACAATTATTTATTTGTTCACAGGGCATTTATTAATTATAACCCGCAGCAATATATTTATTGTAGGTATATGTATAACCTACGAATTTTGACGTGTTTTAAAGTGAAATACATATAAAAACCTCTTGGATCATGAGGTTAAATTGATTCATATACAATGATTAGTGTTGTACTTTGGGAAATAATGGATTTTATTGATTAACAAAATGAAGATGATGATATAATATTTATTGACTGGACACTCTTATGGACAATCCTGATTATTTAGAATTACGTAAGTTGATCACAATTTGAGAAATAATCACGTGGAAAAATGATGATCATAAGTTAATATAACGACATATATAACAACATAAAGTTTGAAAGGATACCAAATGGAAAATAAGATGCTCAAGTGCCCAACGCTTTCCCTTCCTACCCTGGATATAATGCATCGAAATTATCCTGCTATTATAGGGAATAATTCTACATTGTGTTTTTTTTGTGATAATATTATGGAATCAAACGATCATCTTTGGACTTGTTCGGAAATTAGAGATATAATTATAGATTGTTTTAAACGGATTGGATACAAATTAATCGATCTTATTAGACAACATGCGGATAAACATTCGCTTACCATAACGGACTCCATTAGATATTCCCGACGTTCCGTTGGGCGTTTCGTAATTAACCTATCCACCCGGTGGCTATTCTTTTTTTGAAATCATATATCTTTCGTAATCATTTTAATACGTCCAAGAATATGCATAAGCACCTTTTACCGTTCATGCATGAGTGTAGCATTACCTTTAAAAATATATGGAAAGTACGCAACAAACGATGGAAAAATCGATGGTTATATTAATCCTTATAATGATTTTCGTAATTTTAAACAACATCGAGACTTTTTATATATTTTATTTTCTTCTTCAAATTTTTTACATAGTGGTCCCTTTTTTAAACACTTAGAATGTACTGAAATTATTGATTATTCTTCTCCAACATGTACGGATGCTCAATTTATTTATAATGTGTAGTTCCACTAGACTTCTATTACATATTTATTAGTTAGGATTTTTTTATTTTCTTTCTTTCGGTCTGGTCCCTTGGACAACGATTCTTTATGTGTAGTAATATTGGATCGTCTATACAAGAAGTAAGGGTCTGGCTGGTTTACCACTAGATGACAGGTTTTATGTTGGACGATCTTTCTTTGGATTGATTATGTTCTTTTGATGGCCTTGCCAACTTCACATAAAATAAATAAATAAAAACAACATAAAGTTTGACTACCTTGAACATAACTTTTGACCTTTGAAATAATAACTTTTGACCTTAAAATTAATATTTTACACATTCCTTTTAATATTCGATTCTTTTTGCCATTTGTATAATTTTTATTTGATTTTATTTTATTTTTAGTTTATTATTTTATTATTTTTACGTATAAAATTTTATTTTTAGTTTAGATAAATTATTTTGGATTGATATTATTATCTACCTCCCCATTAGTGGGGAGGAAATTAAGAAAATTAATATTTTATTTTTATTTAATAAAAGAATTAAAGAATATTCACGTAAGCCATTGGACCCAGCCTTACAACAGACACACTTAGATATCTATCCGGAGTATTTGTAGTTATATGTTATATTCTTAATAATAAATATCTAATAAAGAAACGCGTATACCTATTAAAAAAATAAATAAATAAATAAACAGATGGGATATGAAGAAAGGGTGGGGAAAAATTGGTATTGACCGCGAATGGTAATTTAGGGGATTAATACATTTGATTATCAAAATTTATTGGATTAGTGTACGTGTAATTTGATTCTTAATTGACAATTATCAATTTGTCATATGTTTTATATTGCTTGTTGAGATTTTGCCATGGAGAAAAAAAATAATTCCCATTTACAAAAAATAAAAAAATAAAAAAATAAATATATTTGCCGGTATTAATTTGATTATCGGTATAATCTACCTGTCGGTAAAATGATTGTCGATGAGTTTAGACTCAACATTGATAGGATAAGTATTCTGGTTATCAATTCTACATAAATCAAGAAATTTGCAGACAAAAGTTATATAAATTAATTAAAACTAGTCTATCTTGTAATTGCGCAAAACATAAATTAATGAAATATAATTTCGTTAGATAGCTGAAATCTAATTTAATAAGTAAAAAAATTTTAATTCCGATATTTTAAATTAGCATTATATTCTTGCTTTATGTTTATTGCTTGATATTTATTTCCTGTGTTTTCCCTTAAATTTAACAATTTTATATTCATTTCAATGATTTAAATCGACTCATGACCTACCTATATCACTCTGTTTGATGCCACTTACATTTTAGAGATGGTCTATATGTTGACATTGTTTGAAGAGCATGGAGAAAGTTTACGATATTTTGCCGTCAATGTTGCTTTAATAGCTGCTTTCATTAGTTCGAAGATATTAACTGAAATTTGGGTTGCTCGATTGCAAACATTGGAATTTTAAAGTCGGGATAAAATAACAATTCTATCCTTAGTTATCGTTTTTGATGTGAAGTTATAATCAAAACGAATCAAAAAAAATTTTAAAAAACATGAATGTAGACTAATTTTTCATCGTCAAATATTCGAGACATAATAATTAAATAGCTTGTTAAAAAAGGCTGTTTTCTATTTGGCATGATTTACATTAAAGTCAACTATCTTGTGAAAATAATCAAACATGCTTTTATTTAAGTAAGTTACATACATCAAATCTTAAACTAATTGTACAATGAATAAAAATAAACGTTAAATATGATAATAAAGGTGATATAAAAATTTAAATAAAAATTAAGTTCCGTTAACCTTCAACTTTAGTAACAACTAATCCAAGATATGGACTAGGCTTATTACTCATAAGACTTTGTTCTTTAAATTTAAATCCTTCAATTGGTTGAAAAACAAAATTCCTAATTAACGTGCTTAACAATATCTTAAATTCAGCTAAAGCTAATTTATTGCCTATACAAGATCTTGTACCAGTGATGAAAGGTAAATAATTATAATTGGTCACATTTTTAGTATATAAAGGATTTAACCACCTTTTTGGATCAAATTCATTTGCTGTTGGGCCCCAGATTTCAGTTGATTTATGAAGTGCTGAAAGAGCTATCATTATTGTAGTATTCTATTTTTAAATAACAATAAAAAATGATTAAATTTGAGAAATAGAAAAACTTTAGCAAAATATATACATAAAAAAAAGATTTACAAATATATATACCTTTGGAATTAAATATCCTCCAATAATTTTATCTTCAACATTAGCTCGACTAATCATCGGTGCTAAAATAAAAATTATTTTGTGTTAATAAGATGATTTATAAATGTATTAATTTGTAAAAAAAAAAATTTATACCAGGAGAATGTATTCTTAAAGTTTCTTTAACTATGCAATTCAAATATTCCAAAGAATTAATTTCATCAAATGAGGGATTGAATTTTGATTTATCAGGAAAAGCTTTAGCTAGTTCTTCACGCAATAAATCTTGCTCATGTGGATATTTTGCAAGTAAATACAAAGCCCACATAGTTGTAGAACTCGTGGTTTCATGTCCTGCTATTAGAAATGTCATAATCTGCAGTAATAATATATAATTAAAACAAAATAATGAATGTTTTCAGAAAAAAAATGAATAAATACTAATAATTATATTTTTCAAATATTACCTGATATTGTAATTCTTCATCAGTCAATTTCTCTTCAATAGGTAATGTTTTATTAATATTAATTAACAAGGATAATAGATCCTTACTTTTCAATTCTCCATTTTTCGCTTCATTATTTTTTTCTTCCATCAATTTCTTTGATTCCCGGTTGATAACTACACACGCATTTTTAAATCTTCGATTTATATCTATCGGAATGTTTCTAACAATTGGGATATAGCTTGATAATACACTGATGAAAAAACGTGCGACAGGATTTGTGGCATTACTAAAAAGAGAAGCATAAGCATCCGCTAATTCGTTTGAAGATGTTAACGAATTAAATTCGTAATTAAATCCTAAATAAATAAATGGAATTATATAAGTATGGTGCTATTAATATATCACGGTTACGGCACATCTACGAAATCACACAATTTCTTAATGCTGTAACCATAGAAAAACCATGTAGTAATTATAAAACGTTGATGTCATCGTAATTGTAGCCAAAATTCGTGAAGTTCAACATAAAAAGCACATATTTTTCTCACCAACTAATCCAATAACATCAAGGGTAGCCTTTGATATATGTGGTGTAAGATTGATTTCAGATTCTCCTTTATTTATTTTATCTTCTATTAACTCTTTTAAGGTAGAAGCCACTCGAATAAATGTTGGAACCATTTCCTAGATTGAAATAAATAAATATATTTTATTAATGTAATCTAATTATTAATTTTAAAAAATATTCATAAATATAATTACTTTGATGTTATTATGAGCAAAAGCTGGATTCATCATTTTCCTCTGTCTTTTATGTTCTTCACTTTCCGCAAGTACAAGTCCTCTACCAATAATTTTAACAAAATCATTCCACATTTCAGGAGGTTTAATATAATCATAAACATGATTTAATGTGATATCTTGAATTATTTTTGTATCTGCGACAACAATAGTTGGTCGATTAAATATTCCATTTACTTTTACAATATTCCCATATTTTTGTATCCACTTAAGAAATGGTTCCTATATATATATACACACATATAAAAGATAGTATATGAGTTGATAAAAATACTAAACAAAAATATAGATAATATTTATACCTCTTTTGTCAAAACTGATTTAAAATTTCCAAAAATTATGCTTTCAGGTGGTGGGCCAGGAATTTTTCTCAAAGGGGAAATATAAAATGGCCAAATAAATAATTTATAAGTGACACATCCTATAAATCCTAACACAAGAAAACCAACTAGAGAAGATAAATTAAGCATTTTTCGTTTTTTTTTTTTTTTTTTTTTTTTTTTTTTGAAAAATTTGGTTATTTATAAATTAGGCTTTCGGCATTATTTACCCGTGATGTTAAAATATTCCAATGTTTAATTGGACAAAAGAAAAAATGTTAGTCATTTATGTTACACAATCACACTATAATTGCATGTTTGTTTCACAATTCGGCAATGTTGATCCTCCGTGATTTATCTGGTGTGTAACTGTATAGGTTATACTAATTTTCGCCCCTAGTTCCATTGATTCTAGTCCGATTTATCAACATCTGGAATTTTTTGATTTGTAATCATCCGGACCCATGACTTCTGCCGTTTTTACATGCTAATTCCACATCGGAGAAAATTAGTATAGCTAGTAATACTGTATAACGTAAGATTATATTATACTACGCACCTTGTAATAATTATAAAATGAATTTACAGTCTGCCCTCGATATAACGAATTCAAAGTTTTGTCATTTAACCAATCAACATTTGTCAAAATTCCCTCGTTATACTGAATCTACAAATCAAAATCAAATTCTTCGCTGTAAGATTATAACGAATTTGGGGTACAGGAATAACAGGACGACAACTTTGTTATATCAAGGGCAGACTGTATGAAATTTTTTTTATAAAAGTATTTTTAATTAAAAATTTTTTTTTAAAAAAATTATTATTTTTTTTTTATATAAAAAATCGGTTTCTTTTAAAAAAAAAATACCAATAATTTTTCTTTTAAAAAATACTAATATTGGAAACGATTAACATATAAGTTAGAACTGGCTAAAATTCTTTAACTGGTTAAAATCGATTAAGTCTAGTGTTCCGAAAGAGACGAGTCGCCGAATATAAACCAAACTCGATAAATATTCGAGTTTACATTTATGTAACTTGACCCTTGATCCGACCCAACGTAGTTTAACTCACGAATAATTCGGGTCAGATGGGTCAGATAATTTCAAAACAAGTTCGGTTATGATCAGCAAGACAATAGATCAACTTTTACAAATAAAATTCAATATTATTTTGGGTTTTGTTTTTTATCGCACCCATGAAATATCGTATCCCCATATAAAGTCAAAAACAGTATTCTAAACCCTTTTGATATACTAAATAAAATTGTAAAGCAGGCATACTATATGGTTTTTTAAAAGTGTTATAATAGGTAAATAAAGGTTTGCGCTAAAAATGTAAAAAAATCGAAAAAATCGAGAATTAGAGAATTCGCCAAAAAGGGAGGATTGATACATCACATATGCGAAAAAATCACTTTATTATTATAGTAAAAACAAAAACATTATATTAATAATTTTGACATATATTTACAGCACATGTTAAAGTTCAGTTATAGAGTATAAATATCCAGCTTTTCATGTTATACTCGTTATGCATCGAAGTAGTTCAATGAATGGTAAGGATAGACTACTTCAATAATTGCCATAATTACATTTAATGTAAAATTTAAATTCTTATTTTCATATCCTACACCCACCAAGACTTCAAACACATACATACACGGATCACATAAATCTTTCAAGAAGACAAGAACATTATCTTTTTGTGAACACAACCGACCCTATAAAAAATATTCTGGAAAAAACTCCAATAGATTATCATTTTTTCTTGTTTATATTCCGAAGAAACTCAGACACGTGATCATTTTTCTGAAAAATTTTTTATAGGGCTAAGTTCACATATACAAACGTCCACTTGATTCTATCAAACCAACCTTAAACCATAAACTTTCAATGAGCTTTACATTTATATTTGTGATGAACATTCCATTTCTTCGAAAGTTCTCTAATAAAAAGTTTGTTTCTCACTTTCCAAGTGAGCTTCACTCATTTTTAATTTTTATAATACAATTAAAGTTAGAAATAAAAAAGTAAATATAATATCAACTTATCACCTGATAATCTGATTAAACCCGGGTCAACCCGGGTCAAGCAAAGAAACGACTCTGACTCGACTGGTTGAATCAAACCCAGGACTTGTGTCAAATAATGAAAGACCTGATTCGGATTTTAAACACGAGTCGGGTCAAATAACTGGGTCTTTCAGACTGAACACTACAATTAACCGATTAATTAATCAGTTAGTATTAAAAAATTCTTTTGACTGCAAATTGTACTACCTAATCTTGTTTATAATTAACAAATTATTATTGTTTTAATGACTGATCATAATAATAACTCCAAATCCATGCCCGAAATTTTCTAATAATTGCGTGTGTGAATCAACTTTTGATAACTCACATATTTTAATTAAAACTAGCTGTATCCTGTTGCAATGCAACAGGATTAATTTATGCTCATCTATAAGATTTATACCATTTTATGTTTTGGTTTCGCCTTTTGTCATAATGATAATGGGGCTGCTTTTCTTTACGCAATCTTTTTTTACGTTGTTCAGGTGCTTCATCTTCAAATATTTCCTATACATGTTTCAGCATTAACAATATTACACTTACGCGTTATATATAGAAAAATTTGATGCACAAAATATTTAAAAGAGATATGGCAGCAACATTATATATGAATTTTTTTTTATTAGAATTAATAGAATTAATAATTATTAATAACAAAAAAGAACAATATTTAAATAATATTATAATTATACTAATTAAATATATTCCCATTAATTATAATAAAAACCCATATAAAATGTTTTTATTCAGACATATAACATATATATATATATATACTGTACATATATTTCAATTATTTCGCAGCACTTGATTTCGATCTGACCTAAAAGACAATGGAACGCAAAAAAAATATATTAAGGGAAAAAATTAGCAAAAAAATAAATAAATAAAAAGAAACAGAAATAAAATATGCTTACCGCAGTCAAATCTCGATCTGAAACTAATAAAAAAAATCATATACCAATAGAGCCAAAGCAAGGAATAAAAATAATTATGAAGCCATTAAAGTTAAATTTTTCCTGTATATAAGACAAATTGCATAAAAATTTATTGTATAAATAGAAATATAACTTTGTAAATATATTAGTTGATAATAAAAAAAATTAATCTTTGTGCAGGTTGTATTTATAATAATTATCAAACACTTTGTTTAATCACGGCTAAATGAGTTGATGTTCTTATTATAGCAGAGGTAATACTAAAAAAGATGATAATAATAGAACACATAGTTATACCCAAAGAAATATTTATAATATTATGGATTAGGCGAAAACTTTATCTTTTAAAAATAATTTTAATGATATAAGTTCAATTTCAATGAAAAATTACAATTAACAATTTATTTTGAAATTAATTGAAGCGTCTCCACTAGAAATGGTATGTTACGATTCTTGAATTATGTGCCGAAGAAATTGTGGTATTTTTGTCCGAAGCGTAGCGAAGGATTACAGTAGAGCCCATATCATGCATATCATGCAAGGTTTGTCTGTCACGCCGCGTGAATGACGTGAATGACCAATCAATTTTTAAGATCAGACGTAACATTTATATGAACAAGATAGGTGTAACAACGTAATAACAATAACAATAAATTACGGCCGATAAAATTTTAAAGCTCCGGACATCACGACAGTAGTATTAAATTGAAAACTAATAAAAATTCACAACTTTATTTATAAAGATAAATGTTCGTATATAATAATTTTAACTTACTAATAAATAACAAATAATTAATCAAGTTCCTTCATAAAATTATAAGGATGAATAAGTGTTGTATAATAATAATTTAATTTAATATTATACAACTCAAATTCCTTTACTTCACTTTCAAAATAAGGCAAATCTCCATATTTAAAATTCCAAATAGCCAAATACTCAACCCTTTTTTCTTCCATAATAAATTTCTTTATATAATGTAAGATATCATCACTACCTTTTTGCATTATTAACAATTCCTTAATAAAAATATCTTTAGAATTTTTTAAAAAAACTTCAAAATCATTTGCTTTAATTTTAAGAACCAAATTTAAATATTCTAATTTAGAAGGAAGGATTTGTCCTAAATTTTGTAATATTGTTGAACTACAAATGTTATTACTATCTTGATAATCATCTATACTAATCGAAAGATAATTAAGATTTTGTTTAACATTTTCAATTAAATTGAATATTTGATAAATAATTTTCATTCTGAGTTTACATAAATCAAGAAATTTGATATTTTTACAATTTGTAATTAATTCTAATAATTGTTGATTTGATTGATTATCATAATCAAATTCATATCCGAAATTCTCTAAATAATCACCAGATTGTTGCATTAATAATTGTAATAATTCAATTCGTAATTTTTCGTTCATAAATAAGGATTTTAATTTAAATGGTTTAGATAAATTAATAATTTGTTGAATAAAATTAGAATTTAAAAAATAACAATAAATGATATGAATAGATTCTATAACATTTAATTGTTCAAATACTTTATTTAATAGATTGATTATACTCCCAAAATTGATGCGATAAAGTATGATTGTATTTAAAGTATTTGAACAATTAGAATCTTTTGATAACAATAATGATTTATATAAAGGTAAATAATCGTGACTTAATAAAATTCTTTTAAGATTTTTATGTAAATTAATAATTTGTGATATACGATTTTTAAGTAAAGTATCTTCAAAACAATAAGTATTATAAATATTAGTATAAAAACCTAAATTTTTAATATTTTGTATAAAATTTGTATTATTTTGTATAATTAACTCAAAAATATCATTAAAATATTCATTATAACGATGATCGATAATATCAATATCAAAGGTATATAAATTTACTTCATTTTCAATAAATATTTTAAATAATGATATACTAATTAATTTCATAAATTCAACTTTTGAGTATATATTTATATTTTGTATAAAATATTTATTTTCGGGTTTTAAGGTTCTAATAGCATCTTTAGACCATATTTCAATACAAATCATGAATTTCCATGTGTTCAAATATTTTATATAATTAAGATAATTGAATAGTGTATTTAAAGGTTTTGTTTTAAAATCATTATCATTTAAATTATGTAAATACATTTCAATAAAATTATAATTTCCGGTACGAATTGAAAATGGATTTTCCCATAATAATGGAATCGCTAAACGACACCATAATCTGTTAATTAAAATGCATGAATGTAAAGTTGAAACATCATTCTGTAAATATTTGATAATTTCATATGTTAATTCAGGTAAATCACCTGAAAATATTTTTGAACATGACATGATATTATAAACGAAGAGGGAAAGGTAAGGGGATTTATTTTATTTACTATTGTCTACCGGATAAATTTATTAATAATTTTCGGAACGGTGAATCCGATAATGTCGCACAAAAAATGATTAGGCGCAATAAGTTCTGTAAAATTGAACTACCCCAGTAACACCCGAAAATGTCACAAGTCACGTGAGATCAGATACGATATTTACGATAACCATTTATAGTATAGTATAACAAATAAGAAATAAGGGGTTACGGTACATTTTCACCGAAATCCATTCCGCTAAAACCATTTCACCGAAAGGACATTTCGCAAAAGTGCATTTTACCGAATCCATTTCACCGAATCGTCCATTTTACCGAATTCCATTTCGCCAAATGAACATATTCGCAGAAAATAGGTAGCGATTAACATTTTAATAAAAAAATATTCATCGCGCAATGAAAATAAAAATTAAATTATATTTAGAGAATTTTTTTTCCAGGATATTATCACTTTAACATCCAAGTAGCTGATATTAATTGTTAAAAAATAAATAAATGACTTTATTTTCCTGAAATCATTTATTCACGAAAAAATAAATAAAAAAAAAGACTATTAATATATTACAAACAACGAGATAAAATTTAATAAAAATCAGCTAATTCAAAAATTTTTCTAGAAAACATTATTTTTATGTATTTAGTATAAAATCAATAAATTAACTAAATGGAATAAATAATTTTTCGGCGAAATATCCATTCGGCGAAATGTCCATTTGATAAAATGGCTTCGGCGAAATGAAGGTTTAGGTGAAATGGAATTTCGGCGAGACGTCCTTTCGGCGAAATATCCCTCGGTGAAATATCTTTTGGGAGAAAAGTCTGGATACCAAATAAACTAAATTCGCTAATTAACATATGTGTTATCTTCCTATTATCATAACGATCTAATCTTCTGTCGCGTAAAACACGTACATTAGTAAACTTTTTACACTCCACAAGAAAGCTTATCAGAAAAAAATATATAGGGTTGTAAATACCAAGTTTTATTTCTGATCTTTTATCTTTTTTAGCAAATAAATAAAAGAAAATGGTAAAATTAAGTTAAAATAATTAGTACCAAGTTTAAAGACCACTTTTTATATTATTATTAGGCCCAACTAAATTTCCCCATTATGGTACAAAATTTAAACACTCTCAAGGGAATGTGTTTTTGGAGTTACAGTGTATCTGTACCCAATATTTTTCCGAAGTCATGTGATAGCCTACCCTAAAATTTCCAGAATTGAAGATCTATATTCAATACTAATCTTGAGCACGTATAACATATAAATCAGGAGCTAGATGATCGGCAATTTTCAGCCACAAAAAATGTCTCTCTCTCAATAATAAACGATATGAAATTATTATATGAAATTATTTTTTTACATGAACATCCAGAAGTCCGAAGTGGGGTTATTATCTTATGTTCACTGTAGCAAGTCTGCAGTAGCTTATTGGGTGAAAAAATACCGTCAAGATAAGAATTTAACCGATGAACAGAAGTCAAGCCGACTTCACAACACCCCGAAGCACAAGACAAACGAATTGTGAAATTAGTAATGAAAAAATTTGATATTACCAGTACTGAAATTCAACAAAAACTTGAATAATAAGGTATTAATGTTAGTTCAAGAACAATTAGGCGACGTTTTGGTGAGTCTGGGATAAATTTGAGAAAAACTTTCAAACCTTTGCTTTCTGAGAAACACAGAACTAACCGGTACATCAAAAATTTGACTGGAAAAAAGTTATTTTTACTGATGAGAGTACTTTTCAATTATTTTAGCCAAATAGAAAGGTTTGGAAATTCGTTGGGAGACCAAAAGTGTTCCGTATAGTCAAGCATCCACAGAAAGTTCACGTTTGAGAATTGTTTTTCTTTTATAGGATTTGGTAAGTTGATACGCTTTGAAAGAAATCTGGATGCCCTTTTTATGTGTAGTATCTATGAGAGAGGTCTTTTGCCTTCTGCCTGTAAGCTTTGGGTGAAGATAGCATAGATCCATAGATTAGATCTTGCAAGAAGACAATGATCCTAAGCACCGCCCAAAAATTTGCAAAAAATGGAAGGAAGAAAATGAAGTGATCGTATTGTCTTGGCCATCTATGTCTCCTGATCAAAATCCTATAGAAAATGTTTGACAGTTTCTGAAAATCAAAATTTCAAAAAAAAAAAATTACAACAGCTAGGAGATTAAGGGCAGAATTAATAAAAGAATGGAACTAATACCGGTTCAATTAGCTAAAAATCTTGTTAATAGTATGGAAAAGAGAGTTACGGCATTAATAAATGCAGGGGGGGGATTTTTTTATACCCTATAAAAAAAAATCTGGGAAAAACTCCAATAAATAATCATTTTTCTAGTTTTTATTCCGAAGAAACTCAGACATGTGATCATTTTTCTGAAAAATTTTTATAGGGTATGTATTAATGATCAGGACTCATTTAATAAAAAAAAAAATTTTTTTATTGTTTATTAATTTTTTTTAATTGCGGGTACAGATACTACAAGATTTCAGAATATCCCAGTGGCTAACATTGGTGCTCAAATTAACACATTAACACAAAACCAACAAATAATTATTTGAAATTTACAAGCTATTCAGCAAACTCTACAAGTCATCCACAAAACCAACGAAACATACAGCAAGCTCAGAGAGCTGATCGTAGACGACTAAGGAGGATTCAGCGTTTAATTTAAGCCTTGTATGTATTTTTAAATTATTGTTACCAAAACAATCATTGTAATGGATAAATATATATTTTTATTGTTTAGAGACGTCCGTTCTTTTTGTAGGACAATAAACTCTCGAATCATCAACACGCGTGAGAGAATTGAAGTCCTATCAAATCTTCGTAATGTACTCCCAACAATTTTCTCATTAATGTGTCCCAACTTAGGAGGGCGAATGGTACATGTATATATAATATATAGCCAACACAATCTTACTTTTTTAATGATTCTAATGGTTTGCAAATTGTTTTTTAAATGTATAGGGCAAGCCATAGATAATTTCTTAGCCTTCTACGTCTTGCAGGGCGGAAGTTTAGTGCGAGATCTGAGAAGATGTTGAAGACATTTAGCAGAGTACATAGTTGTAATTACCATCAGGATCTTGTTAATTTCTTTATGTAATCAAAAGTAACTATTAATTTATCTAAAAATATAATTAATATTTGCTACTTTTTTTGCGTATATATAAAAAAAAAAAATTGTTTGGTACACTACATTATTTCTTTGCTACTATACTAGGTTTTCGAAATAAATAATCCTTGTTGCTTAATAAATGTTATTTAATGATAATGTTAATGATGTAAATAATAAGTTTGATTGTTTCGCTTCATTTTACTCACACAAGGTGGGTAAAAGAATTCGCCAACAGGGACATCATAATTCACAGATCGATTTGTTATATGCTTTTTGGGGAAATTATGTTAATATTATCGCATCACGAAAATCTGATCAACGAATCCACTTAAAATCATAATAAAAAAACTTTGGCGCTACTCATATACAAAGATCAGCAAATCCATGAATTTATATTCTCCAAGTTTTACAAGAAAAAGATTTAAATTAACTATTATGTCAGCATTAATAATATATCGGTCATATACCATATTATGGATGAATTACGCGATTTTACGTGACAGATCTATTGGGCGATGCTTCATCTAATTCTAGTCATGAAATTATTTTCTTTTTTAGATACTGAAAGGCATTATTATTAATTCCGGTCCTGAAAGAGATGCCTAGAATTAATAGTAAATTCCCCCCGCATTTCACCCAATTTACCTTTAGCAATTTAATTAATTTACCATACAATATTGTATTTATTCCATGATTGAAAAAAAGGTGAAATTAATTAAATATTTTCTACCACGAACCAAAATAACATATAATCATTTTTATTTTATTTTATTTTGTTAATTTTATATCTCATCCACCTGATTGATAAAAGATCTAACCAATAGACTTGAGAAATGAGGCATAAGGTTAGATGCAATTCTAGCCCGCTGATCTCTTTTATTTGTTACGGCGTATGAGTAAAAAATTTCAAAGACGGGAAGAATAAAAAGTTTAATAAAAATATAAAAAATCTGGTTTTTAATAGATCAGAAAAATTAAAAAAAAATCTGATTTATAAAACTAAGAATTTCAATTTAACTATTATCGCAGTTTAACTGTTAAAAAAAATTATTAAATAAATTTAGTTGGTTTAACCATTAAAGGAAAAACTGAAATGAATAAAAATAAAAAAAGTCCATTCTACTGTAATGCACCAATTGCATCATCTTGAGATGATGGGAATGGCTGGAAAAAGAAATATAATTATTAAGATGCCTAAACTTTTTTTACAAAAAAATTATCCAACCAAAAATTTCATTAACTGGAAATTTATAGCAACGAAAATGGCTATTAGGACTAGTGGTGTTGGCTTTTCTTTTTTTAGCTACGTCACTCATTAAGTCAACAAAGGTTGCAACTTGTGACGTATTGTAGTTCGATATTATATGAATTATTATAAAATTCTGCAGTGACGTTATTGACGTAACTTTGTTATGGCAGTTATGTCGGTAAAGCACCTCTAATTAGGACGTCCACATGGGACAACCAATTGAATGTTTCTAGCTTTAATAAACACGGAATAGATCACGCGCAGATGAATTACAAGTAGCGAAATTCAAAATTATTTATAGGTTAATTTAATATTAATTTCTTTAATTATATAAGACTGATACTGACTGAAAAATCAGTCTTTTTGAGACCGGCCCATTCAAACCTAGGTTTATTTCTTAAAAAAAATGAACTTTAACTATATATAAAATTGTCATGAAAAAAAAAATTCTCAATAAATGTTAATAATAAATTCATCTTTATAAATAATCAATCTTCTTTATTAAAGAATAAATATTAAAACTTAAATGTAAATCATGATAATTTCGGACTTCAACATTATATAACTTAAATTCACTCACTTCATCTTTCAAATCAGACAAATCGCTATTTATATGTCTAATAGCTAAATAATTGACTCTTTTCTTCTTCATAATAAATTCTTTTATACAATATGTAATATTATCACTATAACTTTGCATTATTACCAATTTATTAATAAAAGTATTTTGAGAATTCTCTAAAAATACTCTAAAATCATTTTCTCTAAAATCGAGAGATAAACTTAAGAATTCTAGTTTAGAAGGAAGGATTTGTCCTAAATTTTGTAATATAATTGTAGAATCTCCGACTGTTAAACTAGGCTTTGATAAACCGATTGAAAGATAATTAAGACTTTGTTTAATATTTTCAACTAATTTGAATATTTCAAAAGACATTTGACTTTCAAAACTAAACAAACAAAGAAATTTTGCATTTTTATAATATTTTGTAATTAATTCTAATAATTGTTGTTTTAATGATAAATCACATTTATATCCATGATCATAGCCAAAATTTTCTAAGTAATCACCAGATTTTTGTAATAATATTTGTAATGATTCAATTTGTAATGATTCAATTTTTGATACCCTATTTATAAATAAAGATTTTAATTTAAATGGTTTGGTTAAATTACTAATTTGTTGAGTAAAACCAGCATTTAAAGAAGAACAATTAACGATATGAATGGATTCTAAAACATTTAATTGTTCAAATGTTTTATCAAGATTAATTATTCCTTTAAAATCGACATAATAGAAAATGATTGTATTTAAGGTATTTGAACAATTATAATCATTTGATAATAATAATGATTGCCATAAACGAAGACCGTTAGTACTAAATAACATTCTTTTGAGGTTATTTTGTGAATTAACCATCTGTGAAATATGATTTTTAAGCATATTTTCATTGCTATTTAAAATATGAAGGTCTAAATTTTTAATATTGTGAATGGAATTTATATTTTTTAAAATTAACTCAGTAATATTATCTAAATATGTGTTTAGCAACTCAATTTCAAGAGTATGTAAATTTACTTCGTTTTCAATAAATATTTTAAATAGTGATACACATGTATCAATCCATATTGAATGAAATTTACTTTCAGAGTATGAAGTTTTAACACCAGTACTCAACCAACTTTTAACAGAAGAAATAAATTTCAACATATTCAAATATTTTAAAAACATAGGATAATTGAACAATGTATTTGAAGTTAATGAATTATTAATAACTTTATATTCATTTAATTTCGTTTTAAATTCATTATTTAAATTATGAAAGTAAATATCAATAAATTTATATTTTGTGGTAGAAATTGAAAATGGATTTTCCCATAATAATGGAATCGCTAAACGACACCATAATCTGTTAACTAAAATACATGAATGTAAAGTTGAAAAATCATTTTGGAAATATTTTATAACTCCATATGTTAATTCAGGTAAATCTCCTGAGAAAATTTTTGAACATGTCATTGTAATTTGTAAGCGAAGAAAGAAAAAAAAGGGGTATTTGTGTATCAAATTTTATTATTATTCTTTATTTATATTTTTAGTTGTCGCACAATTACTGTCAGTGTAACATATTTAAATAATAATTAGGCGCAGTTTAGTCGCAGTTTTAATTAAAATTACTGCAGATCATTAGACACAAATCCCGAACTGCAAACTTCTTACGATGGTAAAATCGTTCGACCGGAGGAGCTTTGTACCTGTCTATTTCCGTAGTTGTTTATTGTGTTCTAATAGTGACGTGATTGACAAGATCACTTCTATGTCGATTATTTGGCTGGAGTGACAAATTGATAAACTTATCTATGAAGCAATCAAGATTACAGCAATTAAAAATTTAACATTAAAATAGATCTGCAGTATCAGAAAACATATTAGTTATTGCAGAACTACTTTGATATATATATTATTATAAAATTTTTTTTTAAAAAAAATTTCAGTCTCAAAGATCAATCCTGGTCATTGTCAAATTACAAATTTACACTTGAATATACTACCGATTTCAAATTTTTAAACTCGTTGTAAGTAATAAAAGTTCCTGATAATCTTAATAATAAAATTTATTAATAATAAACGAATATATAAGCAATTTATATAAAAAAATTTCTAGATGATATTTTTAAATTACTAATACTAATGACTAATCAATTTCCTTTATAAAACAATACATATCAATCAGTTCATTGTAGTAACTTTTCACTTTAATATTATACAAACTAAATTCCTTTACTTCATCTTTAGACAAAAATAAATCCTTAAGATCCCTATTATCATAACCTAAATTAATATAAAAGGAAGAATCGATAAGAGCCAAATACCTGACCCTTTTCTTTTTCATAATATATTCTTTTATAAGAGGTAAAATGCTATCTTGTTGTATGATATTCATTATCAACAATTTCTTAATAAATGTATCTTGAGAATTTTTTAGAAATACTTCAAAATCACTTGATTTAATGCAAAGAGTCAAACTTAAATATTCTAATATAGGAGGAAGAGCTTGTCCTAAATTTTGTAATATAATTGAACTAATATGTTCAATATTATTATATGATTGATAACTCGTATTAGTGGCAATAGAAAGATAATTGAGATTATGTTTAATATTTTCAATTGAATTGAATATTAGATAAATAATTTGATTTTCAAATCCATTACAATCAAGAAATTTGATATTTTTACAATATTTTATAGGTAATTCTAATAATTGTTGTTTTAAGGATATATTATAATTATACATAAACCTATACCCAAAATTTTCTAAATAACTACCAGATTTTTGAAATAATAATTTTAATGATTCAATTTGTGATATCTCGTTTATAAATAAAGTTTTCAATTTAAATGGTTTAGTTAAATTAATAATTTGTTGAATAAATTTATTATTTAAAGAAGAACAATAAACAATGTGAATAGATTCTAAAACATTTAGATGTTCAAATATTTTGTTTAAATTATTTATACTTTTAAAATCGATGTAATAGAAAATGATTGTATTTAAAGTATTTGAACAATTATAACCTTTTGATAACAATAATGATTGATAAGAAAGGAAACTTTTATTATTCAATAAAATTTTTTTAAGATTTTGATGTACACTAATTACTTGTAATATATGACATTTAATTGATACATATTTACTACTATAGTTATTATATAAAAAAGTAGATGAGCTACCAACATAAAGGTTTAAATTTTTAATATTGTGGATGAAATTTGGATTTTGTAAAATTAATACAAAATAATCATAATAGTAAGGATCATAATTGGAAATAGTGGAGATATCAATGTCAAGAGTATATAACTTTACTTCATTTTCGATGAATAGTTTAAATAGTGACGTACAAATTAATCTTTTAAAACTAAAGATTGAACCTTGTAATAAAGAATATCTATTATAAGGTTTTGAAGTTCTGAAAACATCTTCAAGCCAATTTAAAATAGAAGTAATAACCTTTAATATATTCAAATATTTTATAAAACTAGGATAATTAAAAAATGTATTTGAATGAAATAAATTATCATCAATGTTATACATGCTTAACTTTGTTTTAAGATCATCATTCAAATTATGTAAGTAAATTTCAATAAATTTATAATTTTTTGTAGGAATTGAAAATGGATTTTCCCATAATAATGGAATCGCTAAACGACACCATAATCTGTTAACTAAAACGCACGAATGTAATGTTGAAAAATCATTTTGGAAATATTTCATAATTTCATATGTTAATTCAGGTAAATCTCCTGAGAAAATTTTTGAACACGACATCATAAGCGAAGAAAGAAAAAAAAGGGTATTTGTGTATTACATTTTGTTATCATGCCCTATTTATATTAATGGTGTGTAAATAATTAGGCGTAATATACCCTAGCCATGGCAAAAAAAAAGTGGCTGACACGTGACTTTTGGCCCGCATTACGGTGTTATGCACTAACACGTGAAAATAAACAGTGACGGATAAGGCGTGACGAATAAGTTTTTACCTAAAAAAACCGTCCTTCAGATAAATTAAACGTGGTGGTGTGATGAATAAAATGCAGTCACGTGTCAGCCACTTTTTTTTTGCCATGGCTAGGGTTGTAATAGTTGGCAAGGTTATACCCGGGGCGCCAAGGGTACTGTACTCCAAAAAAATCATCAGATACATTAACACCAATAGAAAATGAATTTCACATTTTGACCAACGATGTCGATCTCGATCATGCCCGATATAGTTATGATATGAATTTCACGATCAGCAAATTTTATGCCAACTCCTTAAAGATAATGGACGCCTTAGTCGCCTTACGAAACAGAATTTTTTCTCATTAAATTTTCATATAAAAAACACGTGATATACTGTATCTCGGATTTTTTTTCCGTTGCCGCAGCTGTAATTTTCCCGCAGCGTTTACCATGTCGAGAAGGTCAACATCTACAAGAAATTAACAAAACTCATCTCAACAACGTTACATCACGTGACAAAAAATTTTATCAACAACAAGCAGACCAAAACATAGAAGTCCCGAAAAATATCCATAATAAAAGACTGGGAGTTATGACGTTCGTCGATATACGATCAACAGCCAAGAAAGATCTAGAATTAAATTTCATTACACTAATGAATCCGTAAATCTACCGCGCTTGTTTAAGCATACAAAAACTTACCTTTGACGTGGTTCGGACACGTCAACAAGAAATAAGATGGAACCGTGTTACACAGGCTAAAGTTAAACGCTCTGATCCTGAAAAATTTTACCTAACCACGTTAATCGTACTTGGACGTCAATCCCTTTCGCCAAACCTATCGTGAAAATAATTCAGCATTTACCGAACCATTTCACTTTCGTTATAATCACCCGCTTTCCGATCAAGAAAAATTATTGCGCAAGAAGCACCGAAACTTTCAGAAAAACAAAAAGAAACGTTTGAAAAAACGTTATGCACGTCTACAGGCTCTTTTAACAGAAAACCAACCGACACCTTAGGTTCTAACTAAAGACTGAATGAAAGAGAAGCCGCAAGAATGTTAGGTATTCGTAAAGACTAAGTTATTACTCCACCACATCTCGGTAGAAAGGCCGATGAATATCGAAGACTTAACCTATTCTATTTCTTCGAATTACCATTACACATATTCTAACTAAACCGCATCATATTTATACGAACCGGACCATTATTTGAAAAGACAGAAAAACAAAGACTGTCCACGCCAACATCTACTAACGACGACCTCGTCATCACCAAATTATCACCAAAAAGGACCGGAGGGTCCACAGACTCCTGAGTGGCTGAGTCACAATTTCATTCTTAATTATCGAACCATTCCATGCCTGACAGTATTTACACATGGCACCGAAAGGTGAAGGATCTTTCGTTCGTACAATGTTTTTCTTTCTATTTCGAAAGGTGGGTACTGTATGGGATGTGTATCACTAGTTGAATTTTTATACGTAGTTAGTATGTCATTAGTACCTCTATAATTATGTAATTTTCAGCAGTTTACCTGCCTTTTTTTGAAATAAAATAAAATAAAATAAAATAAAAATCTATATGAAGGTTATATACAGCCTAGTAGAGGGACGTAGAATAAATTTAAGAAATTAGATTTGAATACAATTTTTTAATTTCTTAACAATTTGTAATTAGAGATTGGAATAACAAATTTAAAATTTTTCTCTCAAAATTCCCCGAAATGTATTAGTAGAATTCACTGATTTGGAGACGGATCACGATTTAACTTATTATTTATCAGTTAATCATCTAGCATAAGGTTAATTACTGCCCTAGTAAGCTTAATTATACAGTCATATTGTACTACTTAGGCGTCATTTAGTGGTTGATATTCACAATTTTTTTTTTTTGAGTTTTCAAGAATTTTAATTGAAATATGGATCAAATCATAACAAAAGGGCTACAGTTAGTGATTACAGAAAGTGACTGACTGTCTGACTGCCCAACACTATGGCTATCTATTTTTTAATTCCGGCCAATTAAAATTTTGACCGAAATTACATCACCAGCGCAGCGATGACTATCATTACTGGTGTTAGATTATTAACCGCAGTTAGTGACGTTACACACAATTTAGTTATATTACAAATATCGGAATCGCCATTCCGAAAATTATGATCTCTTTTTCTCTTCTTTCACAATATGTCTCATTCAAAAATATTTTCAGGAGATTTACCTGAATTAATATATGAAGTTATAAAATATTTTCAGAATGATTATTCAACTTTATATTCGTGCATTTTAGTTAACAGATTATGGTGTCGTTTAGCGATTCCATTATTATGGGAAAATCCTTTTTCTTTTCGTACCGAAAATTATAATTTTATTGGAATTTACTTACATAATTTGAATGATGATCTTAAAATAAAATTAAATGAATGTAAAATTATTAATAATTCATTACCTTCAAATACACTGTTCAATTATCCTAGTTTTTTAAAATATTTGAATATATATTATTTTATTTACAATGTTGAAATGTGGTTTATTAAACTCGAAAATAGTAGATCATATTTAGTATCTGATTTTAAAGAATTGATTGACATATCACTGTTTAAAGTTTTTATTGAAAATGAAGTAAATTTACATACTCTTGTAATTGAGATTACAAGTATTTATTATAGTAAACGTCTTTATAATATTCTTGAGTTAATTTCGCAAAATACAAATTTCATTCACAATATTAGAAATTTGAAACTTCACATTAACAAGCGCGATAACGAAAATATGATAATTAAAGTATTACAAGTAGTTAATTCACATCAACATCATAAGAAATTTTTTATAGAAAGTGATTATTTCTCTTTTTATCAATCATTACTATTATCAAAAGATTATAATTGTTCAAATACCTTAAATACAATCATATTCTACTTTGTCAATTTTAAAGACATAATCAATTTAAAGGATATCTTTGAACAATTAAATGTTTTAGAATCTATTCATATCTTTTATTGTTCTTCTTTAAATACTAAATTTACTCAGCAAATTATTAATTTAACTAAACCATTTAAATTAAAATCCTTATTTTTAAATGGAAATTCACAAATTGATGAATCATTATTATTATTATTACAAAAATCTGGTGATTATTTAGAAAATTTGGATTTTAATCCTGATTATGGACAATCATTAATATTAAGACAACAATTTTTAGAATTATTTATAAAATATTGTAAAAATATAAAATTACTTTATTTTTATTTTTCTAATTTTGACAATCGAATTATTTATTTGACACTCAATTTAATTGAAAATATTAAAAATCTTAATTACCTTCTTATCAATACCGATGAAAATTCTCAATTAATTGATAATATTGAGCGTAGTTCAATTATACTACAAAATTTAGGACAAGCTCTTCCTTCTAAAATGGAATATTTATGTTTGTTTCTTTGCATTAAAGCAAGTGATTTGGAAGTATTCTTAAGAAATTCTCAAAATACCTTCATTAAAAAATTGGTGATATATAATTATATAGAATATAGTGATGATAATAATATTTTACCTTTTATAAAAAAATATATTATGAATGAGAAAAGAGTTGAATATTTAGCTATTATAGATAATTTCTTAAAAAAAGATCCAAGATATATCGTTGAAAGTGGAGATTTGTCTCATTTGAAAAATGAAGTGGAAGAATTTAAATTACGTGATATTAAAGTTCGGTGTTATAATAAACTACTAAATAGTAGTTATTGGTTTATAAAAGATATTGATTAATTATTTAATTAATAAACATTCACAAATAAATTTTATTTTCTTAATATAAATAAATTTGAATTCCTATATCCTAAAATTAATGATACAATAATTCGACGGATTATAATGCACGCAGAATAAACTTGTTAAAAATGTCTAGTTTTTTATTATGCTTTATGATTTAAAGTTCTTTATACGAATATTGGTAATGTTCCGATCCTAAATCTGATAAATCCAAATTGATCCTTCAATTCGGATGGTAGTCATAGGATGCTTGATCGGATGATCAAATTTTTCCATGGTTTGAATAAAAAAAAATAAGCCATTTTTTTGCAATAACTTTCATTTAAATTCCTTTTAGAAACATGCCAAGTTGTTATTTTTAATTATTTCATAATAAAAATAATTAGGATATATTTAGTCATAACTAGCAGTTACCCGTTGCTCCGCACCAAGACCAATGAGTTTGTTTAAATAGAAAATTTTAATTATAATGTAATACTAAGTAAATTAAAGATGGTTACAGCAGTTTTTTGTTTATAATTAGTATAGGTAATAATTAACTTTATTTAGGAAAAAATTAATTAATTTCATGCCAACATTGGTAAATGCTCACATCTATCAGTAAATTCATGACACAGTAATTATTTCTCCTCTCTTATGAAAATCTCTCTATTGATTCGATGAATTAATCATCAACTTATGGAAACATAGATTACATACAGTATATATTTTGATTGATTCTTTTTATTAATTTTAACAGAGACTACTACTGTTTCATCTTTTATTACTCCGTAGACAGCCAGTTATTTTGGATAAAAATCATTTCTTAATTAATATAAATAATTAATAAACGAATAATTTTAATAATTTAGTTGTAATAATTTACAAATATTATATACGATAATATTCATTTTTTACAATATTCTTTATAAAATTATAAGCCTTATAGTCAGCATCTAAATATAAATCATTGAAATTTAGAACCGATACGATGTAAATTCATTCATTTCATCTTTAAATTAGATAAATTACCATGTTTAAAATACATAATAGCTATATATTTGACTCTTTTTTCTTTTATAAAAAATTCCTTTATGCGATATAAAATATCATCTTCACCTGGTCGTTGTGTTATTAACGATTTATTAATAAAAATATTTCGAGAATTTTCTAAGAATATTTCAAAATCACTTTCTTTAATAGTAAGAGACAAACTTAAGTATTCTAGTTTGGGTTTTATTAATTTTATTTATTTATTCATAATAACAGGCGATGTTAGTAATGAATTTGTTGAGTGATCATGTATTTATTTCGTGATAAAACAAGAGATTTATCGGGGGAGTTAGAAGCCTTCTTATCATAGCAGCGTTGCACAATCATGTTTCAATTTTGATGTGATAAATATTGAAACATAATTTTAGTGACACTCATGATACGAATTTAATGATAGAGAGTTCATCAATATGACAATTCAAATTAATTTATACAGGGTAATCTAAATAACACCAAATTAATTTAATTATATAAATTATAAATGTTAATGATATTTATCCTTTGATAATCCAAGTACACAACGAAGGATTATGGTATGAATATACAATATTAGAATATTTCACTATACTAGATACAAATATATATATATATATATATTGTAATCTGCTTACATTTGTTTTTATTTGCACAAAATATTCTCTGGAATTAACATCTTGAATATTACTAAATTCTTATAATTTTATTTCATTTAAAGCTTGTCAGATTAATATTTGATGCATGATTTTATGTATTTTACATTATCCGGTATCACGTGATTTTTTATAATTAAAAATGGTTATAATAAATCGTGTATCAGGCAAAATTCGTGTATCAGGCAAAAAAAATCGTGTATCAGGCAAAAATTCGTGTATCAGGCAATATCAAATCACGGGATACCGGATAAATCACTTATTCGGCACTTCGAACCGAATAACTAACGCTACCTAAAAGTAGCTTGTTATATTGGGAATCAAAACTTGATTTACCCAATATAACAGTTATTCGGCACTTCGAACCGAATAACTAACGCTACCTAAAGGTAGCTTGTTATTGCGGAGCCCGGATCAACCAATCAAACTTGATTTACCCAATATAATAGTTATTCGGCATGAAGTGCCGAATAACTATTAATTATCATCTTCCAGACAATTCAACTGATTTACAACCTACCTCCGCCTCCACCTTCCGGGATGGCGACCACCAAGGCGATGATGATCCCACCTACTCTACCGGTTATGATGGCCACTACCGCGATGAATGGTGGCACTACAAGATGCTTCAATTTTAGAAAATAGTTAATGCAAAAAATGTATGTAATTAACATAAGGTACAATTAATTTAGTTTAAGTAGGAGTTCATGTATGTTTTTTTTAGAATAGGGATTGTTTTATATATATTTGTATATTAATATGTGTATACCAAGTGAACAAGTTTTCACAAATCCCTATGAAAAAAGTCTGTGTGATTTTTGTTGAAAAATCATTCAATTAAATTCACTACGATTTCTGTATATTTGACCATACAATAATTGTGCTAAAAATTGCAATAAATCACACAATTATTGCATGGTAA